CGTGTCGGCCCAGGGTAGACCGAGGGAAATCATCATCAACTTACTAATTGCTTAAGAGCATGAGTTTGGTGTCCCACGTTGTCTGATACATCGGAAAACATAGTAAGGGCATCCGTGGTCCCCTGCGGACACAAAATAGGTCTGAAGCTTCGATTACATAGGTAGAGAAAATGAAAAGTGGATCATGATGGATCTCCGTACTGAGTTAGGTTATTATCAGCCAAAGACGACCACTAAGGAGTCAAAAGTTTACTTTAGAATAAGCTGACGCTGGTTAAGCTGTCAAGTGACGAAAACCACCAGTGATGGCTTCGATAAAGGTCAAAGGCGTCACAGACATTCCGTGAGCAAGATGTGAAACCTGACGATAAGTGAAGAAGCGTACGATGATCATCGGAACGTCAATAGTTAGTAGGTAGAATCAACAGTTAGGAGAGGTGATTAGAGCTAAGAAGTTGCCCCCGTATGATGTTTTCAGAAAAGGACACTCGCGATAATCAACAGATAAGCGAAGAGGAGTAATCCTCCTGCCAGTACCCTTGGACAAGTGTGTAAGCGATTGGATGGAACAAGGGGCGTCGTCGAGAAGACATAAATCTCAGCAGCCTGTAGTAAGCCGAGGGATATTGTCGAGACGAATAATTAGTGTACGCTTGTACTCGAAGGAGGTGGGACAAACAGGTTGCCCCTTTCATCTTCGAAGATAGAAAAATATTCACAAGCGCAGGTAAAACAGGAGGAGTCTTATCCTAAACTTTAGACAAGTCAATAAATAGACTCCCACATTGACCTGCGTCATAATGGACTGAGCCAGGAGGATTAGCGCGAGATTGGTCGTTGAAGCCGAGTATTATATATATATAAAAAATCTTGAGAATAAGTCACGCTTTGATAAGAAAGATGGCGACGGAGCATAACAAAGTGTTGTCCAAATTTCACCATCGAAGACTATCGTTAAATTTGCGTGAAGTCAACAATGCATCATCGGGGATTATGATTCGACCCGAATGATACATTAATAAGAATTTCTTTCTCTCTCGGGGGCGAGAGTTGAAAGGATGAAAGGTATTGCCACCGCCTGGTAATATGAAGGTCACTCAAGTAAAGGGGTGCCAATGGCGCTGAAGACTTAATATGGTTCTTAGAAAACAGGCGGAAAACGGGCGCCTAGATAGGCAGAACCTAACTCTGAAGACTTCATCCCATTTAACTGCTATGAAAGCGTTCTGATTCGCCCTCGGCGGACTTAAGCATTAGTTGCCGTGAAGTGGGATGGAGTCTTCGACAGAATGTCGTTGCTTCGGGAATACACTGGTTAGTTGCGGTTGGCATTAATAGACTCTACCCATTTTATCGTGGAAGGAGGTAAGGAATACGACTTCCGATCCTAACGGCCCGAACCTTGCCCCAAATGTGGGTCGACCCTGGATCACCTATATGCGAGGTTGAGTGGTGGATACAACCAAGCTCTTTCATGAGTTAGGACGAGGGTCATCCTAGTCGGGAGTAGGTCCGGCTTTAGTGGCCAGGGCAAGTGTATTCGTAGGAAGTGATAGAATAGAATGGATTATTTTGAAAAAACAACCCCGCTTCCTTACCTTTTATTTCCTTTCACTTGTTTACTCCGTCCTCGAATACGTTGTTATGACATTTAATTGTTTATGTACGCGCCTACTAATTTATCGTTTCACATATATAAAACTTTTAGACGTTTAGAGGATAGTGATCATCCCTTCCCCCCAAGTTTTATATTTAGAAACGTTTTAGAAGCGTGTTTTTTGTGTATGGGCTTACGAAACTTGTATAACTTTTCAGTGTAATCAAGAAGTTGTAAGCCCAAAGAGCAATAGGTGCCATCAACAACGGGGTCGGCACAATTTGAGAGAGCTCCACGGCCCAGGGGACGCAAGAGCACCATCGGCCACCGGGGTCGACGGCGTACTTGTTGGGATAAGCTTGCTTCCATAGATAAGACACGTGTTTGAGTATAGTTGGCTAATTACTTGATTGGAGTTACGTAGGTGATTAATGTCCCTTGGCCGTGTTTAGCCAATACAGAGTTCGTACGACCCTAGGCTGATCAAGTACATGTGTGTACCTTTCTCAAGATAGAGCCAGAGTCGAGAGAGTATGAGATAAAGAGGCTTGATTGAGGCCGTGAGGGTTGTTAACTCAGGGTGGTCAAAATTGTAAGAGCGTATAATTCGAAGCCGAGTTAGGATTGTATGATTATAGAGCTCAAAGGTTGACCGACGCCGGGTGAGTTTCTAACCCGAAGACTAGTCGAGTCAGTGTTAGTTTTCTAATGTTCATTCCGTTACCATTCGATTGAATGAACGTGAGCACATGAAACTTTATCATTTTTTTGGTGATAAAATGAAAGAGTTGGAGAGGATTTGAAGTAAAGGGTTATTTAAACTTCTTAGCCCCTCCCCCCCAGCCTTGATGCTTGTTGCCCAGGTAGGCTACGATAAAAAGCAACATCGTCCACCTTAGGAGCCCTCCCCCCTTGCTTAGGAAGAAAGTAGAAAGATTTCACGGACGAAGTTAGGCCGAGTCTAGGGCTGATCGAGACTACGGGTGTAAGTAACCCACAAGCGAACGGAAGCTTATTGGGCATAAAACTCAGAAGATGGCCGATGCCGCAAGGGGTTGTTGACTCAAAGGTGGGTCTAAACTGTAGAAGCGTATAATTCCAAGTCTAATCGACACCGTGTAAGTTCTCAACTCGAAGTCAAGTCCAACCCAAACGAGTGTTAACTCGAAGGTTGATCAATGCCACGTGAACTTCTAATCCTCAGGCAAATCAAGACCATATGAGTTTCAGACCCACAAGCTTACCGACACGGTTTCAAGGAGTAATTAGTGCCCATCAGCCGAATCTGGAGCTCGATGGGTTATATCATTATAGTATTTGAGTTGGCATAATTCACATGTATGCTAGATCTTCAAGATAAAAAGGAAACATGGTACGTTCACAAAAGATCTTAGAAAGATGTCATGTACCTGATTAAGTGTGGCGGGATCGGACCTTCGTGCCCAGGAGGTCGAAGGCGTCTGCCTTTGAACTCGTGCCTTCTGGAAAGCAATACAGGTTCCAACGCATCAAGGCCTGTGGAGGCTATAGGAGTGCCATAGGCCGCAGAGGCCATACAGTGCCGTCGACCACGGGGATCGAGACGGGCTTATAAAAGCTCCCAGACTGCGGAGGCCGTAAGAATGCCGTAGGCCGCGGAGGCCGTATAGTGCCGTCGACCACGGGGATCGAGACGGGCTTATAAAAGCTCCAAGACCGCAGAGGCCGTAGGAGTGCCGTAGGCCGCGGAGGCCACACGGTGCTGTCGACCACAGGGATCGAGACGAGCTTACAAAAGCTCCAAGACCGCGAAGGTCGTAGGATTGCCGTAGGCCGTGGAGGCCACACGGTGCCGTCGACCACGGGGATCGAGACGGGCTTTGCTGACATCCTGGCGCCTTCGTCCTCGGATTGATGAGCCTTCATCTTCGGACATGTAGGCATCCACGGACTAAGACGACAACCTCGGACATGTAGGCGTCCTCGGATTTGTGAAGCCCAGCATGGCGTCCAGGTTTTGCAAAGGGGTTATTCCTTTGTTCTTAGTACACACAAAGGCAATTAAGAGTATGTTATATACTAACCCAGTACACTTGTTAAGAAAGTTTCGAGAGAAGGATTACATCTTTATTTACGACACGAATGTGAGTGTTCAAGATAAAAGACGCGCCATTCGTTCAATAACTCAAAACTTTTGAAAGGATATTATATCTAATTTTCAAAATGGTTTTTCAAAGTGAAGGGTGAATCGTCTTCGGACCAACTTTTCAAAAAACAACCCACCTTTTCAAACCACCAAGCATAGATATACTACCCAAAAACAAGTATATATTTTCTTAAATAGTTTTATTTCCTTTTCCGCATATTTCCGAGGGTAAGGGGGCACATAGCACATAGTCAAGTACGAACCACATTCGAAAGCACAAAGAGTGTATGAACTATGATAGCTCTATTCTCTATATGTCATGCGATAATGGTGTATTTATATTGGCTATGTCGCTTTAAGCATTTGATTGAATTTATAATCACGTAGCAAGGAGGAAATATGTATAACCACATATCCAACTCCTCCCCCCAAATAAAATTATTTAAGAAAATAAACCATCAATTGGTGATAAAGTGGTTAAGAACACTTATCTTTGTAGCATCCATGACATATTTGAATTGGAAGTTTTCATGAATATTTGAAAAAGGAACCGATTTTGCCACAACAATTTCTAGCATCCATGACATATTTTTCTATATTTTTCACAGTTACCTTCCCTGAAGTCAACCTCCTTATCTTCTTGCCTCCCACATCTCTCGCTCAATTATCTCTTTTCTTTTTTTTGGCATTCTCTCACGTTGAAGTGTTCTCAATTTCTCTCCAAGACTATGAAGAATTTCTCCCTCCAAAAAATCAGCAATTAGCTCAATATTAGGGAATAGGGATCCAAATAAACAACTGCCGTACTCATCTTTGGGGAAAACTTTCTCCGTTGTTATTGTACATCTTGGCAAGATCAAGGGAAAAAAATCCGAAGGGGGACTGACTTCTCTAATTTATTCTTCAATTTAATCAAGTAGTTTCCTATCTCATATGTGTTTTTTTTTTTTGTGTTTTTGGAGATTGAATTTGACATGATAATAGATTGAACGCATCCTGGTTGTTTGATTATTTTCTTAAGAATAATTTTTTGAGCAGCCTATCCGATAGTGAAACAAATAAAATAATAAAAGGCAAAATGCCAGAAAATTATCTAGTACACCCGGGGATACGGTGTCCCCCCATGCGCGTGTACCTCACTCTCTTACAATAGTGTTAGTGAGCCATTATAATTCAGCTTTCTTTTTCTTTTTTTCTTTTTTTTAAACGCGGGGATATATAAATAACCGAATTTATTCAAATTTGTAAAATTTTGTGATAGAGTGTTATTGATTGGAGATGGCCGGCGACGATCGAGGCGTTGAGGCGGCAATGGGAGTCGGTGATCGTGGCGTTGAGGTGGACATGGCTCGCGGCGATCGAGTCGTTGAGACGGCGACGGCGTTCAGCGATCGAGTCGCTGAGACGGCGACGGCGTTCAGTGATCGAGGAAAGGCTCCGATTCCACCAGAGTGGCGAAACGGTGATGAGATCGACAATATGCTTAGTTCAGATCGAGTGATGAGTTATGTCGTTGATGATTCCGTCTTGATGAATGCGGAATGTAATGGTAGAAAATCCATCGAACAACCTTACTGTGCCAGTAAATCAACGCAAGGTCACAGTTCTGTTGTAGATCAGCTGGAATCAGGTAATCAATCAAGTTTTTTCCACAGTTCTATTTTTGTCAATATGAACTGGATAAGCAGTTATGCTGTGTTGATATCCAAAATATTTTTACTGGATATCCACGTTGTTGTGCTGGATATCCAGCTTATGTGTACTGGTTATCCAACTGATACACATGCGTATCCAAATATTATTTGCTGGATATCCAACATTTTTGAGTTGTTTATATTGAATTGGTGTTTTTTCACAGTTCGGAGTGTACTGTTTGTGACAGAATAATCAATCTAGTTTTTCATAGTTCTGTTTTTGTTAATGTTGTATGAAGTGGATAAGTAGTTATGCTGTGTTGGATATCCAAAATGTTTGTACTGGATATCCACTTTGTTTGTGCTGGATATCCAACTTATGTATACTGGTTATCCAACTGATTTACATACGTATCCAAACATGCGTACAAGCTTAGTTTCATGGAGAGTCCATCTGGGATAAAGGTTTGTTTGACACTATTGTTGAATGTATGAATCTGCATATATCAAGTTCTTGCTCTCTACATTTATGGTATTAGGATAGTTGTCTGTTGATATCCAACTGATTTTTTGTTTTTCTGTTTGTCCCATTTTTTGGAAAAGAGCATATCAATCAGTTAGGGGATGATGTGATGCTGGATGATGCTTTGTGCATGGAAGTTACATCTGCTCTGAAGGGTGGGTTTTCTAACTTGCTTATATGGTTTAAATTTTTTTTCTGATTTGTTTATCCAGTGTTAATACTGATTATCCGACTGCATGGTAATGGTTATCCAACCATCTCTTTTTGTTTTTTCTCAGAATGTGGAGAAGATAATAGCGGCAATGAATTGGGAGTTGATAATGTGATGTTGGAGGAGGATGCCTTGCACAAGGAAATTTCATCTGTGACGAAGAATAATGATTTGTATAATGATTATTGGTAAGACGGCAAGAAGTGAGAAAGAAGCTTATGATTTGTATAATGATCATGCCCGATTGATTGGTTTTAGTGTGAGAGTGGGAAAACAGAAGTTTAGAGGTAAGACTGATAAAGTTAGGATGAAGAAGTTCTGTTGTAACCGCGAAGGATACAAGAGATCCAGTGGAAATGGTGATGTATGCCATGAGAGGGTTAATTTTTGGTGTGGGTGCCCAGCTTATATCCAGTTTACTGTTGACAAAGATGGCTTCTGGACCTGTACAAAGCATCTGGTTGATCACAATCATGATCTTGTGCCGAATGAAATGATTGGACTTCTTCGATCTCAACGTGAAGTAGATGAAAATGATATGGAGATAATCAGAGACATGACAAGGAGTGGCATCCCTTTGGTTGATGCATTTAAGTTTGTGGCAAAATTACACGGGGGAAGCCCGAACATGAAATATACTTTGAGAGATGCCTACAATTATGAGCATCCTGCTGTTGGATTTGAAGGTGGGGATTGTAATCAGCTCATGAAGATTTTTTGGGACAGGAAGGAAACTGAAGAAGATTTCTTCTTTGATTTTGAGTGTGCTGAGCAGGGTAGGCTGTGTATTTTCTTCTGGAGGAATGGCAGAATGCGAAAGGATTATAATTTGTTTGGTGACTTGCTTGTGTTTGATACAACGTATCGAACAAATAGATATGGGATGATCTGTGCTCCATTTGTGGGTATGGATAATCATAACAAGAATGTCATGTTTGGTTGTGGTTTTGTGTTAAACAAGAAAGAACCCTCTTTTGATTGGTTGTTCAAGCAGTTTTTGAAATCAATGGGAGATAAACAGCCACAAACCATAATGACAGATCAAGCACCTTCCATTGCTGCAAGTATTCGGACATGTTTTCCAAGTTCTCGGCATCGTCTCTGTGTATGGCACATAGGTGAAAATTCAAGAAAGCGAATTGGTCATTTAAGGAACAAGCCAGATTTTGTTAAAAACTTTAATTATCTGATAAAATACACTTCAACAGAAATCGAGTTCGAGGTATTATGGAAGAGGTCAGTTTGACAATATTTTTATTATTATTTTGATCATTTCCATGATTAAGAGTGTCTCTTATTTTTTTTGTTGTGTGGGTATGTGTTTGTTAGTGGTCATGCATGATCTTCCTGATGATTACTTATAGGTAGGTACGTTGTGTGGTAGGTACATTATAGAAGCACAACTTAAAAAAGGCATGGATAACTAGTTTACAGATTGTGGATAACCACCCATAATGTTCGGATGACTAGTTTACAGATTCTGGATAACCAGCAACTATGGTTGGATAAATAGTTTTTAGCCATTCTGGATAACCACCCCTTATGGTTGGATAACTAGTTTACACATTGTGGATAACCAGCAATTATCTCTGGATAACCACCCGTTATGGCTGGATAACTAGTAGAAAGGCTTTCTTGGCTGGATAACTATATGGATAATATAACTATTTTTCTTTTTATGCATGTGTTTTATTTTGTTGTGAACAGATTATTGGATGAATATGATTGTCATGATGACAAATGGCTCAGTGGTATTTATGATGTGAGGCATATGTGGTGTCCTGCATTTAGCAAAGATTTTTTTTTTTCTGGTGGTACCTTGTCTTCACAGAGGAGTGAGTCAACAAATAATGCAATTTGTCATAAGAAGAAGGCCACATCATCGCTTTGTGATTTCCATGGAATTTTATCTGATGTTGTACACTGTTGGCGGGTAGCTGTGAGGGGTGAAGATCTACGTTCTAGCCAGGGAAACATCGATTCATATCTTCCCGGTGACCCTTTCCTAGAGAGCATTCGCAGAGTGTACACAGTTGAAGCATTCCGGGAGGTTCAGCAGTTGCACAAAGATGGGATGTTGTGCAGGCAGGAGCAGTTAGAGGTCTCAAATGATGGCAATACTGTGACGTACCATGTTTGGCGGTTTGGGATAGAGCACTTTAAGCATGTGGTTATAAATGACACTAGGTTACAGAGATTCTCATGCACATGCAGGTACTACTCTGAGGCGGGCATGCTTTGTTGCCACATTCTTCGGATCTGTCACGTAACCTCTGTTGATGAGTTTCCTAAAGATTATATATGTATGAGATGGACAAAAGGTTATGGTGCCAGGTCAAGCATAGCTAATGAGGGAGATGGAAAAGCTGCTGGCCCATTGCTGTGGAAGGCACTAATTATGAGACGATTTTCAGATTTGGTGTATGCAAGTGAATATAACAAAGATGCAAAGAAATGTTGTGATGAGGTCATTGATGTGCTTAAAGAAGAACTCGGCAGTTTCATTGGTTCAAATAATAATGATGAGTCTGTAGACAATGATGGTGTTATAAAGAATCCGGCTGTAAAGAGGAAAAGTTTGGTCCCAGAAACGAACGTCCTAAAAGCATTCTTGAGAAGGCATGTAACAAAGTCAGAGGCAGGAAAACAAATGCAAAAATTGCTGCAGACCGAACAAGAGCTTCAGTTGCATCAGACCTGCATTATCAAAGCATGCCATTTCCTTATCCAAAGGGAGCTGCTCAACATTTTACAGGCTCAAGAAGTTTTGCTGCTGTGAATGCTTCTCATCAAAGCGTGCCATCTTTGAATGTAAATTCCAGTGGAATCTCATTTGCTAATCCAAGCATAGCTGCCCAGCATTTTTCATGAGCAGGGGCTTTCACTTCTATGAATGCTTCTGATCAAAGCATGCCGTTCATCAACCAAAATTCCGGTGGATTCTCATTTCCAATTCCCAAGGGAGGTAGCCAGGAGTTTCAAGGCGAAAGCACTTCCGCTGCTGTGAATCCTTCTCATCAAAACATGACATTCATGAATGAAAACTTTGGTGATTTCTCATTTCCTAACCGAAGGGAAGCTGCCAGGGAGGCTGGAGCACAGCGTTTCTTCAACAAGATGTTTTATTAGTATTTTAACTTGATGTTGAAATGAACAGTATTGATGGCGTAAAGATTTTTATTTAAAAAGTATTATTTATTTTAAATTGCAGTATTATACAACCAGTTTTAACTGGTTATCCATTTTGTTTGTACTGGTTATCCTAGTGGTTATTTTAAATTGGTTATCCGTTGTGTTCATGGTGATTATCCAACCAGTTTGAACTGGTTATCCAAGTTGTCTGTACTGGATATCCATTTTGTTTGTAATGGATATCCATTTCGTTTTTACTGGATATCTAACTCGCCTGTACCGGATATGCAACTTTAAATGCACATAGATATTACAGAAAAACACATGAACACGTTGAAGACTGATAACAAGTATAATCTCATGGATAATCAGGTTAAAGACTGTACTTACATTTTTTTTTACTGGATAATCACAATAAAACATTCGGATAATCAGGTTTAACAAGATGGATAACTGGTAAAATGATCATGGATAACCATTACAAACGGTTGGATATTGCTGCACATTGGCTGGATAACCAGTACAAAAGTCCTGGATAAGCAAGATAACATCATACGATAAGCAGTTTAATAAAGAAGTAGAAAGACCAAGAAATTGGGACACTCAGTTTTTGTTTTCTGGCAATTTACAGAAATATTTGGAGAACCAAAATACATTGGATAACCAGCATAGATAATCTGGATAATTAGTACAAAGTCCTGGGATAACCAGTAATATCATTAGATAACCAGTACAAAGTCCTAAAAGTGTGTTAATGTTTCCCAGAAGTAACATGCTCTAATGATGAAACTGGTTTCTAGATCCGGCGATATACTTGAGTGTGTGATTTTCCTGGTAGGAACACTATACAACAACAAATGACGATTATCGTATCCTTTTACAATGAACTGTCCTGCTGGAGATGATTTGTGGCTTAAGAACACTGGATAAAGCCAATCATGACGGAAATGTAATCCGTGTGGAACGTGTGTGTTCACATTTGGGAATTCATGGGTCTCAAATATGCAATCCCATGTGGAAGTATCTGGATCCCATGCCCACATCTCACAGTGATGATTCTGAGTAATCTCGTACTCATCTATTATACACATAGTCCCCTGGAAGTCCAATATTTTCACTTGGAGATTCATATGAGAAGGATAAGTGGGGTTAAAGAAGGTTGGAGATGGAGGGCAGTTTATGGGTTGGAATTGTTGAGTGTGGTAGTCAAACACAACCAACAACTCTTGAGGTGTTGCTATTTCAGAGGATAGTTTGTCTACACGCCAGTACACGAATCTATCAAACCAGATTCCATCAGATACAAGGCGAGGACACACATTGCAAAGTGTTTTCCATTCCCCTCTATGAATACTTGAACAACTTTGAAAAGAAAAAATGCAGCCTTGCATGTTTTTTCCATCGGCAATTAGGGCCATGAAAACGTAAGTTTTTGAGGATGACACGTACCCAAATGCTGTTTCACAATTGCTGAGAGGGACATCATATGGCCATTCAACTGTTGCAAGTTGTGTTGTCTTTGGGTTCAAGAATTTGATTTGAGAACTGGTTTGCAGACAGATCAAATCTGTGGTGATAGGCATGATTTTATGGATGCCGTCGTCACCCATCGACATCTCTTCTTGAAATCGTATGTGGTTGCATGGGTTATCCATTTGCACTTTTATGTTGGTGGCGATTAGTTTGTCTTGCAACAGGTGATCTTCTTGGCTTGTTTAAGTGAAAACAAGGATGTTGTTTTCATTTGTAGGGTAGCTCATCTCACGTTTTTGAAGAACAAATTCCTGTCTTTTCGTCATTTCCTCCCAAGCTTTGCCGACACGCCGGAACTGTCCAATCTTTTCCAATGACAGACTAATGAACATATTATCAAGCATATCGTGATGGATATATTCATGAAAGATGGGGGACATTTGTTTGGTGCTGGAATTTGAGGAAATTTTTTCGTTTTTCATTTTTTTCTGGATGTTGGATGTTTTGGATGCTCAAATCAGGTGCTCTGGTGTATGTGCAGATGAAGGAGTTTTAGCCCCAGGTGCAGATCAAGAAACTCATTTAATGACAGTTATGTAAAAACGTGTGGCTCTGTAACTACCCATTAGATCATGGTGGATGTACTGTGCACGAACACGAGTATTTTCAGTTTTCTTTTTTTTTATTTATACTGCCTCAATCTTTTAAATTCTATTTTAATTACAGAACGTGTGGTTTTCAGTTATACACAGTAACATGTTCCACACTATGGATAACCAGTATGGACATAATGGATAACCAGTGTTGATTATCCTTAAATGAGTTACATAACTGGCTGGATAACCAGTACAAAATTTCTGGATAACTAATACAAAAGTTCTGGATAATTAATTCAGAGCATTGGATAATGAGCATAGAATAAAAACAAAGTGAATTTTACTGTGGATAACCACTATGGATAACCAGCATTTTTTGATAAAAAAATAAAAACAAAGTGAATTTTATACCCATAAAAAGGGCGAGAGCAGGTGAATGGTTGAAGGAATGGTACATTATCCAACACACTCAATTATGATTGAATGACGTTTTCGGGCGAAGGATTCTAAGGGATAATTATTATGATTGCCCGGCCGCCGTTTGGAAAATGTGCACACTGATGGGGCAGCTTTTCAAGAATTTGGACGGGATTCTGAAGCGGGTTGCGTTCCCGGGTTGGGTTTTGCCCGCTAGTTAAGTCAGACGGCCTGGCCCTCATTGATTTTTTGTTCTCCATCATTTGGCAAACTTTACCTCATTCATTGTTTTAAACACTGTTTATGAAATTTGCCTTCTTCGGCATGTGGGCGGCGCAGCCGCGGGACCGGTGCAGCCGGGTCGTTTAGTTTATCACGGGAGGATTTATACAATTAATTTAGGTCCCCTCTTAACGCAATAACACACTCTCCTTACACACACACGAAAAAAGGATTACCTTAGCTACATTGGCGTGTTCGGCGGGGCGGCGCAGCCGGGGCAGGTTGGTGACCTGCGATTCCGGTAGCCGCGGGAGTCGTTTAGTTTATCATGGGGGGCAAAGCCCCCCAATGAATATGCTTTTTGGATTGCAGTATTGAGGTTTTGGATAACAAGTATAATCTCTTGGATAATCAGGTTAAAGAATGTACTTGCATTTTTTTTGACTGGATGATCAGTATAAAACTTTTGTTACATATGGATAAGCAGTATTGATTTTTTGGATAAGAATTATAATCTCATGTATAATCAGATTAAAGACTGTACTTGCATTTTTTTTGACTGGATAATCACTATAAAACATTCGGATAATCAGGTTTAATAAGATGGATAACTGGTACAATGATCATGGATAACCACTACAAATGGTTGGATATTGCTGCACATTGGCTGGATAACCAGTACAAAAGTCCTGGATAATGAATTCAAAGCATTGGATAATCAGTAGAGAGATCCTAGATAACCATTACAAAATGATCTGGACTACAACAGTCAATCAATTATACAAGACAAGATAATGACAGTTCATTTAACCCATCTCTGAATTTTTTTGTCATTGTAGTAAGATTTGCTGCTCAAATCAACATGATCTGGAATTTCTTTTGGTTCTTCTTCAGCAGTATTTGTGTAGAACTGGTGCATTGCTTTGAGGATTTTGTCCTTATTTTTGTTGGATGGGTGCATAAAGATTTTTAACATGTATCTCCACCGGTACTCTTTGATGTTTCCTGTGTGGAAATCCAAAGTAGTACCGTCCTCGTAGTCACCACCATCATACTTCTCCATGTGGTGCATTGTGAATATTCCACAATCTTCCGCATTCGGCTTTTTGTCGTTGTGCGATGGTAGCGTAACCTCTGTGAAGGTGAACTGAGCATTGACCAGTTCTATGTTTGGAAACACACATTGAATGTACATTTTAAAGAACTGAAACTGCGATGCCATAAAATCCAAGGATCAGCAAAATGTAATGGATAATTCTTAAAGTATGACAATCATTTTGTATCTTTTTTTCACTCACAAGTAGATCTTTTGTTGGCTTGTAGTAGTCCAGATCTTTTGCATGAAGATTGTTGAATGCAAGGACTTTCTTTTCTTGAACCAGCAACACATACAAGAAGTAATGTTCTCGGTAGTGTACTGGGAAGTAGATCTGATTTTTCACATTGAAAGGGGAAATCATAAGAAAATTTTTTAACAGCCAGTTATAGAAAGAGTGAAGGAGGTGAAAGATGTTGCTTACGGCTTTTGCTACTATCAGGGATCCTACACTTAGTCCTTGTTCTTCTAGTTCAACAGCCAACCTATCATAGAACGTGAACTCGATTTCATCTTTGTCACTATCCTGTTGATAGTAGTGACTGATTGTATCCTGCGTTATTATTTAAGATGGTTGGAAAATGATACAATGATCAGTACAATGGTTGAAAAATGCAGTAGAAAACAAAAATGCCATGGATAACTAGTTTACAGAATGTGGATAACCAGCAATTATGGCTGGATAACTAGTTTACAGAATGTGGATAACCAGCCGTCATGGCTGGATAACTAGTGGAAAGCCTTTGGATAAACAACTTGCAGACACGTGACAAGTATTTTACCAGGGCGGGATAAAGAATAACGGTTTAGTTGACTTACAAATGCGGAAACACCAAAGAATATCCGACTTGGGGAGTCACTTTTAGCTTCTTCTTTGTTTAGGATGACAGCCCAAGCATCTATGATGCTGTTTTCTATCCATGTGCCTTCCCTCATGGAATAGAATGCTGTCCTGTCTGCCCAAACAATTTTTCCAAATTCAAACAAGAAATTCCTGCATAGAAAAAGTAGTCAAATAGACAAATAGTTGGAAAACTGGTAAGTTTTTTATCGCACGGGTAAGGATGGTGGCTTTTGCGCTGATTTAACAATTTCTTCTTGTCTCTGCAAGAGAGCGAAGTCTATCAACAGGGCTTCTTCCTCGGTCATTTTCTTGTTCTCCTCTGTCAACTGTATGAATTTTTTCTTGTTTTTCTTCTGCAGCATGAACGGCGACCTGAACCGTTCGGGCAACCGGTGGATTCTTGGTGGATTTCTCCTCCTAGGTTTTTGATTGAGGATCCTAGGACAAAACAAAAGAGAGTTAGTATGTAAATTCATCTTTCTATTTTGTTGTGAGCATTCACAGTGGATCAAACTTACTTTTCCACTGTCTTTGTTAACCCTTCATCAAGTACTTCAGCTTTCTTTGAGATTGCAGGCGGTGGCGTGGTACACTCATTTTTGTCCAGCATGAGTAGACGACCCATCGTAGAAGCAGCATTCCAATCGGGTGGAATTATGCTTAAAGGGACTGCTTCAACTACCTCTGGGTTTTTCTCAACTTGTTCTGCAACAGCTGCAATGATCTCTAGTTTTTCTGTATCACTCGACGACTCTGAAGCTGGTGCACTGGCCCTTGTTATAATTTCATCGATGGAAGGAATGGGATTCTTTGTTTCGTCCAGAGCACATGGTACTGGATATTCTTCTGCTTCTATAGTCTCATTCACATCTTTATCCAGATCAACCCTTACTGTGACATCTTCCTGAGTGTTCTTCTCCTGGGTTGTCTCGTAACTGTCTTCCTGACTGGAGAAGATACCCAGGTTAAAGCTTGGGATACTTGCGTCTTTCAATGCTTTCCTTTTCTTGGTACCAGTGCTTCTCGACCTTTTGGTATAGGTGGATGTCACAGCTGAATCCCGCCCGGTGGAATCTTGATGGGATCTCTTCTTTTCTGTCGTGGAGACATTCGTTGCATGTTCTGCAGTACAAAATTGGAATGTTGGATAATCAGTACGAAGGAAGTGGATAATCAGTTCAAATAAGATGGATAATCAGGAGGAACACAATGGATAACCATCTAAAGGGGAAAAGGAGGGTTTTACAAGCAGTACAAATTAGACAGATTGGATAACCAGTTCAAATGAAGTGGATAATGAGTTCAAATAGGCTGGATAACCAGCAGAACACAATGGATAACCATTTAAAGGGATAAAAAGGGGTTGGATAAGCAGTACAAATTAGTTGGATGACAAGTACAATCACATCAGACAAGTATTTGTTTCATTACCTCTTGGTTGAGTTTGTTTTTCATCAACCCGCACCTCTTTTGAAGTAGGCACGGATTTCCCCACTGGAAGAGAATTCTCATCATTTGTCTGGCTCAATTGATCCAGTCCCTGTGCCCCTTGTAGTTGAGTTTGTGGTTCATCAACCACCACTTCTTTTGAAGTAGGCACAGTTTTCCCCACTGCAATAGAAGCCTCATCATTTGTCTGGCTCAATTGCTCCAGTCCCTGTGCTTTGTCAATTTCAATGTCTTGAAATTTTGCGTGATTAATTGGAGCTTCTACAGTGTTGTCATCAGTTTGTTGGTGTTGTTGTTGTTCTTGTTGGTCAGCTACTTGTCGTTGCAGCTGTTCTATGATTGTTGCAAATCTGCTTTCAGCGGACTTCCATGCCATCTCGCACAATTCACAAACTGCATCCCGGAGGTCTTGCTGGTGTTGCTGCTACTCTTGTTCCAGTTGCGTTGTACCTGAAGGCGGAGGCATCTTTCTACTCATCGACACCATTGCATCTGATAGGATCTTGATTGTTTGCTTTGCTTGTTCATCTGGTTCGATTCTTAACTCCATTTCCTTCTCACGAATGTCTAAAACAGTTTTGCTCATCGTGATAATCAATTGGTAGAATTTTTCGTAAAGAGCGGCAAGGTCCTGCAAAATTGAATGTAGTTAGTGGAATGTGGAGATGCTAGGTTGGTACGTAAGTTTGATCTGAAAAAAAATGGTAGAACAGTACATAGACTTGCTGTGTGTTGGGGATTCCCTGTGTATCCTCCTTCTGTGATTCAGCCTCTGGTTGCTCATCTCGAGATGTTGCTGAGGACGGTTTCTTGAGACGTTCAAGTGTCTGGACATCTGTGAAATTGCTTCCCTGAAGCCTTATTCTGTCGTCCATCATCCTTTGGTCCCAAGATTTGATCACAGGGAATGACCTCGGATATGCTCTCTCATACTCACACCTGTCAAGGTAGCACAACTAACAAAAAAAAAAAAGTTGGTGTCCATCAAAATTTAGAGAGATTGGATAACCAGTTCAAATGAAGTGGATAATGAGTTCAAATAGGCAGGATAACCGGCAGGAACACAATGGATAACCATTTAAAGGGGAAAAAGAGGGTTGGACAAGCAGTATAAATTGATAAATTGGATAACCAACTAATTAGTACTCGTCGAGATCTATCCAACAAGATCCATTTCGAATATTTTTTTTGAGTTTAAAAATGACTAAATTTTGATGGGCAGAATAAGTTGGATATCCAGTAAGTTGGATAACCAGTACGCACGAGTTGGATAACCAGTATGAACAAAGTGGATAACTAGTTCAAACAATTAGGATAACCATGTAAATCCATTGGATAACCAGCATTAGCGCATTGGATAATCCAATACAAACCAATGATTGGATAACCAATACAAACGAGTTGGATAACCAACTTAGTTTATTATTTTTTAAAAAAGTAATAAAAACAAAAACCAGGTTGGATAAATAATACTAATTAGTTGGATAATCTGCCCATCAGAATTTAGACAGCAAATCTTTTCGAGGAAATCTCGTTTGAAATCATCACCAAAATCTTTTCGACTAGCAATTTATTGTGCCGCGGTGGATCTTGTTGGCAAGAATTTATTACTGTATCCCATTCTTTTCTTGAACGCATCCACCATCTCAGCGTGGTCCGTTATAGCGGGATCATTCTGTTTGAATTCTTGCACTGTTTGGGTCCACAAGGAAGATCAAGTACAGCAACAACATCTTCCTGTTTGATACCCAGTACAGTGTTCCCATTCAATGGGACTTGTCTGGCACCGGTCTGGAAATTGCTTGCCAGAAAATTACACAAGGCTGTTGGAATATTTTTGATTTTGAGATCCAGCAATGCGCCAAATCCCATATCTCTGATAGCCTGCCTTTGTAGTTGGCAATAATCTACCACATCTGGCTCTTTTGTAAGATCTGTTGGTTTATTGATTTCAGTGATGAGTTGGAAGAGATGGTTCGGTGTCATCCTTGTCTCAAATTTCTTGACAGAATCTTCAGAACTGATTGGCCGTGGATCTTGACCAATTATCAGTTTGTTGTTCTCAGGTTTCATTCTTTTCTTTTTGGGCATTTTATCATCGTTGTCATCAGCAACCACAAGTTGCTTTGGATTTCCTGTCGGTGTGCTCTTCTTCCTCTTTGGTTTTCTCCACAAGTTTTGGGTCCTTGGAGTTTGTACAGGGGACTGTACAAACTCCATTATTTTGTCCACTGACTTCTTGGGTTGGTGTTTGTTTTTTATATAGGGTCAATGTTCCTTCAGGGAGCTCCATTATTTTCTCTGGTTCAGGATCCGGTGATCTGTCTGGGTTGCAATTGAGGTCGTGGAATGCGCTGATCCACTCGTGCCTATATTTTGTCCTAAACTCCTTTAGGGCACTGTTGGCATTGCACAATCAGTAAGAAGTCAGTGGACAAAATAGCAGGATATGGGTGGATAACCAGTATGAAATGGGTGGATAACCAGCAAATAATGTATGGACATATAGCCAGATAAAAGCACATCTAAAAAAAAAACAATGGATAACCAGTTTACTCACTTCGGATAACCAAGTTAAAATGGGTGGATAACCAGAAACAAAGTTTGGACAAGCAACACATAAAATCAAATGTTAAAAAAGCATGGATAACCAGTTCACAACATGTGGATAACCAGTTTATCACTTGTGGATAACCAGTTTACCACTTCTGGATAACCAGTATGAAATGGTTGGATAACCAGCAAAGAATGTATGGACGTAGCCACATAAAAGCACATCTAAAAAAAACAATGGATAAGCAGTTTACACCATGCGGATAACAAATATTTAATGGATGGATAACCAAAAAACAAAGTTTGGACAAGCACCCCTAAACCCTAAACCCTATACCCTAAACCAGTAACAAAAAAAAAAACACAAAAACATGGATAACCAGTTCTGTTTGTCCATGCCACATAGAATAAAATGTAAAAAAAGCATAGATAACAAGTTTAAAACTTGTGGATAACCAGTTTACAACTTCTGGATAACCACTCTACAACTTATGGATAACCAGAATGAAATAGGTGGATAACAAATGTCAGTATGATATAGATGGATAAACAGAGATTATGGCATGGACAACGATCACATAGCATATGCAGGAAACCATGGATAAATTGTTCAGATCTAGTGGAAACACACAAGATATTGCTGGATAATCAAAAAAAAGAGGATCCCGGAGTAATATACTTACCATTCAAGCATGTATAGATGAAGGAGAGCTTGAGACGTCCGGACGTAGGGTTTCTCGCCGTCGTCTGTGTGTGTGTGTGGGTTTACCCTAAATTGGAGAGTTTCCGTCGACTGTGTGTTTGTGTGTGTTGGTGTGTGTTTATGCGTGAGGATGAAATTGATGAAAATTACTTTATGTGTACATTTAATGTAAAGGTGAAAACAGTTACGCGCGTGGTGCGCGTGTGTTTGGTGGGTGGGGTATACGGTACACCCGGGTACACTGGATACGGTCTCTAATAAAAGGCCCGAGGAAGAGAAACAATGTGTGTTCACAGTTGGGAAGACTACGACCGAACAAATATATATATTTTTTAATCAAACCAGGTAAGTACCTGAAAAATTTACTAATAGAACAAAATATTCTCGGGACAGTGCTTAAAACTTACCCCGCACAATGAGAAATCGTCATATGATGACGGTGATTTAAAAATCAATAAACTATATCGGAAAAACACTAGCCGGTAATACACTTTTCTGTCAGAGACATTAGTACAGTGTTGCACTAGAGGACAATAATCATTTTCTCCGTCACAATGATTCGCATCTTTCAAATCACCATTCATGGACTGCCGCATTTAGTGGGCATATTTGAGAATTCCGAACAGTGAGTGATGTACAGAGAATTTGTAATCGTTACCTCCAAGTTGTCACTAGCATAAACGTCGATAGTCAACAAGTCTAAACTAACTAACTTATAATACGATACAGTCCATTCGTAGACTAAAGTGACCGGTTTCCTGTGTCACGGGCTTACTTTTTCAAAGTAACGGCCGTGCGGCACTAGCACAAAACAACTAACGATCAAGTGCTAGCTCAGCCTTAAGACCCCCAAAGCGTGCAAAGCTAGGCAAGACTTTAAAGAACGGAGGCAAAGAAAAACTTAAGAAAGGTTGAAAGTGAAAGAATGATGAAGGCACAAGAGAGCTTAAGGAATGCTTGAGAACTCTACTCAAAGCTTGGATGGATTACAAATGAAGGAGGCATGGGGTATTTATAGGCAAACCCCAAGTCCTAAAGAATTCTAGAGAATTCTATGTACATAATAAAATAATGGAATTCTAGAGAATTCCTACAATAAAATATTCTAAGTTCAAAATATCTACAACTCTCTAGAATCTTCCACACGGTTCTAGCAAACTCGGGTAGCTTCCACACGATTCCACCCGTTTCTAGAGAGTTCCGGGCCTCTCTAAAAAATTCCAGAGTCTTCAAGATTTGACCGGAGAATTCCACAAGGCTCTAGACCGTTCCGTCCCATGTCCATCTATGAAAATAGCCCGTTTCACATCAAACCACCCGAATTCGTGGTGAAGAAAAACTGTCTGTGACATCCTCCTCCACCAAAATGGTGCATCGCCTCGATGCACCTAAGTCTTGAAGGCAATGTTGATAGGAACGGGTGCACGATTCTCCTCAAAGTCCTCGATCAATTTGGTGAATTGCCAAAGCTTCTCGATTGGCTCCCAACTCGTCTCCCTCATTGGCAAATTCTTCCATTTCACCAAGTATTCTTTAGTTGCTGCCCCGCTCCTGCCCCGAACGATCCTCTTAGAAAGGATCTCCTCTGCGGTCCGTTCCTCATGCTCGCGTACGCCAGCTGGTGCCCCTGAGGAAACGTTCCGTTCTTCGTCCTCTGGGTCCTTGCGGTATGGCTTAAGTAGGCTCACATGAAAGACTGGATGAAGCCTTGAGAAGGCCCCGGGTAGCTCCAGCTTGTAAGCAACCGAACCCACTTTCTTAAGAACGGTGAAAGGACCCTCGTATCTGCGCATGACCCCCTTGTGTAGACCACGGCTCCGTCCATGCTCATAAAGCTTCACCAAGACTTGGTCGCCTTCTTCAAACTCGCGACGGGTCCGTTTCTTATCCGCCCATTTCTTCATGCGCGCGGCCGACTTCTCCAAGTAGAGTTTTGCCTCGTCGGCCCGTTCTTGCCAATCTTTGGCAAACTTGTATGCTTGTGGGCTATTGCCCTTGTAGCCCCCAAGAATGTCCTTAGGCGTAGTCGGTTGGAAACCAAGGACAATCTCAAACGGACTTTTGCCCGTGCTCTCACTCCGCATCAAGTTATAGGAAAATTGGGCAACGTCTAGCAAACGCACCCAATCTTTCTGGTTGGCTGCCACATAGTGCCTAAGGTACACCTCCAAGAGGCCATTGATGCGCTTCGTCTGCCCATCCGTTTGCGGGTGCAAAGATGTAGACATCTTGAGCTCTGTCCCAAGCAAACGAAAGAGTTCTTGCCAAAAACGGCCGGTGAACCTTGAGTCCCTGTCGCTTATGATCGATGGAGGCAGCCCCCAATACTTCACCACATGCCTAAGAAAGAGTTTGACCGTTATCATCCACGTTTTCAGTAACTGAACTATGTAGCTAACATCCACGTTTGTTGCTTCATTTCTTTCCCTTAGGCTCTGTTTGATAATCACTTAATATAGTGACTTAATTTATTTAAGTACTTAATAAAATTAAGTTTATTTGATAATCGCTACTAAAAAGTCTTAATAAATTAAGTTCTGAACTAATTAAATACTTATAAATTAAGTGCGTTTGATAACTAAAATTTCACTGTCTGAATTAATTAAGTGTGTCTGAATATCCAGTTCAATTCTGAACCAGAAAATAAGTGATAGGCCTACCACTTATCACTTATCACTTAAGTTCTGTAATGACTTTTTTTTTCTTTATTTTCTTTTTTTCCTTCGTCTTTATTTCGACGCTTATTTTTACATAAAATTTTTATTTTCTTAAGATGAATTAATTAAGAGTGCTTAAAGTTGAATTTATATTACGAGTATAAAAGATCTCAAACTTTCAAACTCAAATTAAACTAATTTTAATACATGAAATTTGCTAAATAACAAGGTGTGTATATATATATATATATGTAATAATCTAAATTAACTATATTGATTATTTACCAAGTGTAATATCTACTTTTATTATATATACCAAAAAATTATTTTAAAATTACGATTACATTATTTAGAACAAAATATTAGTTATTTTTCTATTTAAAAGAATTTTGTTCATAATTCAATTTTAATGATATTAAAATTTTAAATAACTTTCAAACCTGAGTATTCAGATTCAGTCTTCAGACTTCACACTTCAGTCTTCAGACATCAAATTCAGACGTTTTTAGCAAACAATGTAAATTCTGTCTTTAGACTTCAGACTTCAATGTTAAGTGTTAAGTGTTCAAATTCATACTTCAGTGATTATCAAACATTATTCTCTTTTTTCGGTCTTCAATCTATACATACATCCACCGGTTTTCCATAATTACACAAAACCATTTTCAAGCAAAAAAAAAAAAAAACTGAATTCTTTTTCCCAATTCATGATTAAATCTCAATACAGATTCTTCACCTAAATCTAATTAAAACCCTATGGCAGATTGTTGACGTGAATCTTACCAAACAATCCAAAACTCTTTTCCTTATTACAATTCAAATGTTTTCTCGATTAGTTTTTATCATCTTTAGTAACCGCTTCCTCAAGACTAACTAAAATCAATTGAAACGATTAATTGCTTCCTCCAATTTTTCAAACCGTGTAGTTAGTTCCATCCGCCACTCATGAATCCCCTTAACCCGGTGGCGATAATCCCGTCAATCTTATTCAAAATCATTCATTGATGCAAAATTTGGAAGTGGCAAATAGCACTGTTGAGCAGCATCGAATACTATCGAGTTCACAGAAAGAGGCAAACCGCCGGCGACAACAAGTCTGCTTCAGAAAACTAAAACCAAGAGAAGCCCATTAAAAGTAAATCCCATTCATGAAACAGTAATTACTTTTCCCCATTGTCACCTATCTGAATTTATCATTTATGTGGTATGAATTGTGGAAACGAGGATGCCATGGCCTGACTCCTTTCTCTTTATTTCTTTTTGTCACTATTGCCAAGTGTAATAAAACTTCTTTTGATGTACTGGAA